AACTGAAGGCCACGTGCTTACACAGACGTGTTATGTCACCTCAAGTGTGTGTGTGTGTATCATACTCCATCACAGTATTTTCTTCAACATTATTCCACTTCTTATTCACTGATTACTATCTCATAAAATACCCTAACGTTTAATTTATGCATGATTCACTTTGTTAGTTTTTTTTTTGAATTTAAACATTCAGATATTAGAGTAGATACTTTTCAACTGCATGTTCGTATTCAACGGAACCGTAGAATGAGTAGTGTTCGTATTAGATAAAGTGTTAACAGACACGTTAGCTAAGTGTCACCAACCAGTGATGTTGTTATCAAAACAACCTTCTATCAAAAGGCCATTTCAGTAGAAGTAGAATTAAGTATGGGAAAAGCCAATTACTTAGAGTAACTAAACTGAAAGTGTTTAGCAGACAGTTGCTCAAAGTTACATTTATTTTGTAAGATCATCGATTATACTACCCCATGAAGTAGGCAGATCGGGGTTCGAACCTGTGACCCAATAACTGAAAATAGTGTTTAAGACAGTGAGTCTTTATCAAGTGTTGTTTTGCAGGGATTTGATTGATCACGAGTTGAAATCAGTTAGAGAACCACGGAAAGCCAGTAAGGAGTACTAGGCAGCTGTTTCGTCCTAGTTTGGGACCCTTCAGCACTGCGCACCCACTGGGGTGTGGACCCGGGATCCCGTAAAATCTTCAGCCACTGGGACCCGATCAAATGGCCCATGAACTTCAGCCTCTGCCAATATACCGATGACATTAGCTGGTGGCTACGCTAAATGCATCCCAAATAGGCTGAAGTTGGAATGCATGGGTCACTGGATCGGGTCAAGTGGCTCCCCTTGTAACTGGAAGGCCCTGGGTTTGTACTACTGAAGATTCCCGAACTAAGACGAAACAGCTGTCCAGTACTCCTGGGTTTTCCAATGGTCTAATGCGTTGTACACGTAGATATTTGGTTTGATCCTCCTAAAATATCTCTTTCACTGTCAATTCTTATTTGCTTAAAAATTATTATTCGTTTACATTATCATTTATTTTGTGTCCAGCTTTTGGTTTGTTTTTAAGATGTCACAACAACCTAAAGTGATCCATGATCGAAAAATAACAAATGTTCCGCCCTAATCAAATTACTTAACATCTGTTTAAGACATCTGCATATATTAGATTTTCCAGATGTAATTATTTATCAAAAAAACTTAGTTTTCCTAGTTACTACATTGGTATCTTGATTATGCATCCATTTCCCATTGTTAACTATTAAGAATGTTGTAGTACATTTTCTTATGGGATTATTCAAAAGTATATATGCATGAATCTACCGGGGATTGAAACTGCGACTTCCAGATTACAGTGCGAGTACATTTCCAATGACCAGTAGGGTGCAGCAGGTCGGGTGTGAGGACAAATACTCGCCGAAGACATTGGCCAGAGGTTTCGCTATATCGTGAATTGGCAGAAGTTAGAATTCGTGGGCCATTGGATCGGGTCCCAGTGGCTTAATGATATACGAGCTCGTCTTGTAACCAGAAGGTCCTGGGTTCGAACCTCGATGGATGCCTACCGATGAAGAGTCCCAAACTAGGACGAAACAGCTGTCCAGTACTCCCAGGTTTTCCAATGGTTCTCTAAACAATGTCAGCTCATGATGAAATCCTGTAACCAATCGACCAAATCCCTACAAACCAATACTTGAACATTCCCATTCTATTGACGCATGAATCCCAGCTCCTGCCAGTTTGTAATATACATATTGCCACCGGTAGTCAGTGTTATTGGCTAGTATCTGCCCTCACACTAGACTTGTTTGACTCCAGCAGTTACAACTTCTTAAGCTGAAACGAAATAATTATGCTGTACTCCTTGGTTTTCAATGACTCTGCTTTCAAAAGATTGATTAGCCGACAAGGGATATTCTTTTCCATAACGCCTTCTTCATCATGTTCTACAGTTATGTGTAGGCACAATGTATAAAGGATCATTGTGATTAACAATATTAAAGTTTTTCTTAAATAACATCGAATCATTCAAATCATTGGATTACAGTTCTAAAGCATCTTTAAGTGACAAGATGCATTAATATAACACAAAAGAGAATATCATATAAGTTAGAAAAAATTACAGTACAGAATTTAGGAATTTATAGATTCGACTGCAAACCAAGGTAGCAGTAGAGTCTGGACACCTTTCGTTTTGCACACAGAGTTAGTTTCGGCTTCTGCTGTTTAGGGTGTTCGGTACCTGAGCACGAAAAACTAAGTTCTTAGAGTGACGACCAATATAACTGGCTTCACAGAAGTATTTGAATTGACAGATACACGAAGAGATAACTAGACTAGGCACTTTGTCTTTCAGTTAAGGAATTACAACTGGTCGTTTAGGAAATATGATGTTGCCTGGAGACGAAATCTCTCTCGCGCGCGCGATACCAAACTAATGCTTGGAATGCTATTTTTTATAGCATCCTATTTAACTAATCAAGGTGTATGTATAACTTTTATCAATCACGTGAACAGAGACAGAGAGAGAGATAAACCTGGGTGACGCGGGTTCGAATCTCAGAAGGGACATGAGTTCCTTCAAGGTTGCAGATACGCCTTGCTGACGAGTGCCAACTAGCACGAAACCTAGGTCCAAGGCTTCCTGCCGATTGCCTCCAACCGCCTATCACAACCCATAAAATGCTGAATACTCCCAACTAGTCTGTATGCGGTAGATAATTTTGTTTACCAGTATAAATCAACGATATAAGAATTCTGTTGTTTAAATAGCTTTAACAGAATTTTTGTTTTTATTATTCAACTTTTGATGAACACCTTATAGGTTATTAACACTACTAGTGATAGTAGTTCATGTTTGCTACTGGTTTAACTTTCGCGGTTTAACAGTTTTAATTATTTAATATCATTTATATTGGATGATTGATAGATAGTTGGACATTGAACACTTATTTTTAATCCTTCGATTTTGTTATGCAAATGAAGTTGTTAGTGATATTGTCTAAGATTATCTGTGTAGAATAAATAGAGTATTAGTTGGATTCCATTATTCAACTGTGAGATTATTTCTTAATTCTTTTGCATTATAATAATAATAATAATAACGATAATAAGAGTCAAATCTTCTTATTCATGCATCGAATAATTTTCAACGTTTTTCTTTTCTATCATGCCTAAGATTTTGATGGCATGTCTTAAAGCTGCTGTTTGTTTGAATGTATTGATTAGTAGTTATCGCCTGAATTCTTTCTTTTATTAGTATTTTGCTCATGTATACAAAAATTCATCTGGTCAAAACAAACTTTACATTTAAGATACTTGGAAGAAAGTCATGCTCCGCTTGGGATTCGAATCCACGTTACCTGCTTGGTTTGCCTGCAGTCAGAGACGTTACCACTGAGCTACTTGGGCTCACAACTGACCTCCTGTGGGACTATAGTGAATACACTGACTTATCACCAGGAAGTAACCTGTGTTATAAACCTATACCTTGGTGTCAGTGCAAACTTTTTGCATCACTGGGTTGACGCGGGTTCAAATTCCTGAAGGCACCTGAATTCTTTTAAGATTAAGTATACGCCTTGCTGAAGAGTGCCATCAGGCACGAAACCTAGGTTATGTTCTTTCTGGCGATTGCTACCAACAGCTGTTAGCTAGAGAATCGTTGAAAACTAAGGTTTACCGGACAATGGTTTCCAACCCGATCGTTAAACGGCCAACAGGTTGTTTCGTTTATACTGGTGAAGAGTCCTAAATTAGGACGAAACAACTTTTCAGTACTTAATCGTTTTATGGGCTTATGAGTAATTTTCACATCAAAACTTGAAGAAATGCCTACAAATCTCTCAAAAAATCTGATTAGATAATTGCTATTTTATATTTATTCATTTCCTGGTAAACAACATCCAGGAATATTCTGAGTTACTGTTTCAAAATTTTGCGATAAATGTCGTTTTGCATGCCTTCTCTATACTTAAATAATCAAAAAATTGTAATAGGCAAGGTGAATTATCATGGTGAATCACTGAGTAGAGTAGCAGTAGCAGTATTAGAGAGCCATGTACTACTTACAAGATTTTGTAAGTAGTATGTTTCATGTGTGGTGTAGTAGTAGTAGTAGTAACCTTCTCTGTTGTTATAGTAGCAGCATTAGCAGAGAATAAGTAGTTCAAGTATATCATACTCTTGATTAATTTGTTTAAATTCACACTGAGAAATTTATGAAACTTAAAAATTACTTGTGTAACTGTGTAGTTTTTAACGTGTAAAATCGAGTGTATCTAAATTAAATTTTTAAAAAGAAACTTTTATAAATACATGAGAAAATTCTGTACATTATGACTGTGTAAACCTTTCAAAAACAACGATAAAAACAACAGAATCAAACAAAATTAACAACAACAAAAAATCCATGAGAAGTTCAACAAAACCAAGAAGTATGATTTCAAAAGTTTCATAAAAGTCACATACTTATTTTTTTATAAGAATTTTTGTGTTTGTCAACGACTGGAAAAAATCAGAATGATTTTTTTGTATTTTACTGAGGTTTTTTTACTGCTTACAACTTTGTTAGTAGCTTCAATAGAGTAAAGTGGTGAACTAGAATTTACAAAATCTCAGCGCATGTATGTATATCTTTTTGTTCCTCCGCGTTCTAAGTGGAATATAGTGCGCCAAGCTGAAGTTTTGAGGTCTAAGTACCGGCGGTGTATTTTTCACGGATTGCGGTTGCTAGCCCTATGCCCAACCTTTTGTCTTTACCGAGCTTATAACTATCTAAGCGAGGTTTATGTCGGCGAGGAATCCAACCCGGACCGCGTGGAGCGTGGTTGGCGAGCATTCTACCAGTAAACCACCGACGCGCTGGTGATAGTACAATGGTATTTTTGATTGAAGTTTAGTTCCACAGCTTGAATTTGCATCGTCACTTTATACCTTATTGTTATTCTTATTATTATTACTATTTTCTCCTCTTTTGTGCACATCTTATGTAGTATTAAATCGTGATGGAAGTCTAACTCAAGGAACGACAATGCCAACAGGAAACAGTACTACTTCTCAGTATACTAGCAACTCACGACTCAATACACCAGCAACAATGACGGCAACTTCTCCACCCGTTGTCAATACTCGTAAGTTTTGCTATTTTCTTCCTTTTTAGTGTTAAGCATTTTGCAACTGTGTTTGAAAAAAATCTCTTCTTTATGGAATCGCGGAAATCCCCCACCCCCAATTTAAATATTCAGGAGACAAAACAAGTGAGACTGAGCTAAGAATACTCTTAATTATTGTTATTGGATGGTTGGTGGAGACATTCAGCAGAAAGCCGTGGACCTAGGTTTCATGCTTGTTGACACTCGTCATTGGGCACGAAATCTAGGTACAAGGCTTTCTGCCGATTGTCTCCAACCATCCAATAACAACAATCCAGAGTGCATTTTGATGGCAAACCACATTGTAAACTTGACTGTCAGAATTCAATCTGCACCATACAAAAGACTAGACTCATAATACTGATTACCAACTAGTGTCCAAACGAAAAATGCTCTTTTCGATAGTTTCCTAATCTGGCTTTGACTTAGTAATGATAAACAATGTAAGAAAATCAGCTGTACAAATTTTTCCTGAACATACAAGTTTGTCGTCTTCAGGTGGATTCTAATTGGCTTTAGCTACATATGCAAACGACGAACTCGTCAGTCAAAGTAAGGATTAACCTTCGGAATAGGCTAGATAATTTTAAATACCATGTTAACACCTACTTTATTCTGAGTTTTTCGACACAGCTACGAATCGAATTCATTTTTCCTTTGCATAATCATCATGCAGAATGATATTCTAAAATCCGGTGATGAACCTGCATGATTGTACGCCTAGTGTAACTAGCTCCACGGGAGTAATCTAACTGGTAGATATACATTTTTTTCTCCTTCACATTCCCCAGTGGAACATAGGGCTTCAAGCTAGTGGCTTGAAGTTTCTGTAGCAGTGTTTATTTTACAGGATGGGGTTGCTAGCTACATGCCCAACCTTTCCTTTTCATCAGCATTATTTCTGGCTTAGCGAGGTAAAGGAGTGCGTCGGCGGCGGGGATCGAACCCCGGACCATGTGCATGGTTGGCGAGTGTCCTAACCGCTATACCACCGACTCACAGGGTGTGGTGAAATTAGGTTGCTTATCTTGATTGTTAGTCTTAGATGGTTGGAGGCAATCGGTAGGAAGCCTTGAACCTAGGTTTATCTTGACTTCTAGAGGGTAAAATTGAAGTGGTTTTGAAGAAACAGTGTACTACTGCTCGAATGAATGTCTTTTTTTACTACGTTCGCTAATGTTATCACTAACAAATTTCACCTTTAAAAACAAAGGCTTCTTTTCAACTGTTGACATACTAGCTTACCTAATAATTAAATGCATGTTTTTATCAAAAAACTTTGCTGGATATACGTTTTTACTAAGTAGTTCTCTAACAATCTTGAGTTCTTCATCAAGGCAGTCGTTAGAGCAGATTACTCTAGCTCTGCGAACCAAACATTTTACTAAAATGCGTTTAAATTTCAAAGGTACAAAAGTCAAAAATATGAATAAACTGACCTGTCGACATAGGTTTCCCTCATATTCTCCTTATTTTTATTGTACCACCCACTTTCCTAGTCATAAGTACTTCTAGGAATGAAATGGTATAAATGTATCGCAAAATGCACAACATTAAGTTTTTAAAGAATGTTCATTGCTTCATTCCAGTTCAGTAATTATACCTTTCAAAGGTTCAGTATTAGTATGAAATGGATGTTCCCTGCCTAACTCATTACCCTTCAGTAGTGCGAGCCAGTGGGTTTTGGGCAAAATCAAGCCTAGAGAATCGTCAGGTAACCAGGTTACAATTCACTCCTTAAATCACTCGAAAACCGAAAAATGAAATGATACCTTTCAGATTCTTCTAATGACATCTTGGCTGTATGAGTGTTTAAGTAATTGTCTTTCTGGAACCAGAGAGGCTTTAGTTGGCTTTATCATTTTCACTACTGGTTCACCGAAGGACAATGCTTGCATTTATTTTTCACCAGTAGTATTAACCATTTCGTTGAATAGCATATGAATGCTATTCATTCTTCACCAGCCTTTTATTTCATGCCTGACTTTCTTTGTTGGCTGATATTTTGATTTATCGTTATTTAATCTTACTGTTGATTTGAGCATAAAGCTTTTTTTCTTCTATAAACCACTGTGTCTTTACAAGGTGCGATTTGCCTAATATCAAGGTTACACATAATCCTTATCAATAAGAGCTAACAGTCGTGTACCATAGTGCCTGCCATACATATAAGGATACAACTTAGGCACTGTGGTAGCGTATCATTCCATTATGGATAAAATTTTATTTTGATAAAGTCACACAGTGTGTGTTGTTATACAGTAATATTTACTGATGACCACGTTTCGAGCACACAGTTTATTACTGCTCATAATCATAAAATACTCATACAACTTTCTTGCTTCGTTTATATACATGATTAAAAACTGATTAGACATATAAATAAAAATTAATAAAAGTCCAATTGACATGCGTGAAACAGAAAGGAAGATAAAGTACATTTGGAAACAATAGTGTTATCAATAAAATACAATAGGATGGGAATTAAGACGAGTGTTGTTAGTCAATAAAATGGGAAATAAGATGTTTTCATAGTAAAATAAATAACTTGTTAGAATGTTATAATGTGCATTGAAATATATTTTAACACTATTTATTATCCTCTGATTTGACTGGCAATAATATCTTCCATATCTCTGGTATTTGCTGTGAATCACTTCTATGGTATGTGTTGGATGTAGAGTGGATGAACCGGGCAGGATTCAGTAATCAATATCTCTCTCCACCTACCTATATAACTTGTTAGAATTTTGACTCTGTCCCACCCACCTATTGTGTGGTTGTATGTTAAGGCATGCAGTTCAATTGCTGAGCTTTTTTCCAAATTACGTATCTTCGTGGGATCAGTCATTCTAACCTTAGCTAAATTCTTACGTTTTGATAATCTCACTACTCCTGATCTACTAGTTTGACCTGTGTGGTTGACTTCACTCATAGCCGTTGCAACGTATTTTGTAAATTATATTATTTTGTTTATAACATACTCCAAGCTTTTAAATGTATTCACATATCGATGCTCATGTTCGACCATTAATTGTGATTTATTTTTATTAGACATTTAGTCAGTGCGTCGGCGATTCAGTGGTAGAATACTCACCAGTCACGTCTTACGTGATCCAGGGTTCGATTTCCTACCGATGCACTTCTCGTTTACCTCGCTTAGTTGGTAGTAAGCCCGGAAAAGAGGGAAGGCTTGGTGTGAGGCTAGCAACCTCACCCCATAAGGGAACAGCTACCACCAGTGAGAATTCAAAACAGAAACTCAAAGCCCTATGTTCCTCTCGGAACACCACGGAATGAAGAAAGATTACTAACTATACATGAGATTTTTTATAGTTTTGGCTCCTTCATTTCATAAGTAAAATATTATTACTTCAATAATTTTGACATCATCATTTTTGGATAATTATCTAACACTAATTCTAGTTACGAAGTCCACTTGGTTGGTCAATTAGTTACTCAGGACCCACTCAGTCGCCATCTCAATATAATCCACGCTTATCATTTGGGGGCTGAGGTGGTACTACCCTTCCGCTCAGATTGAAGTGGGTGCATTGAGATTCGAACCAGGAACCCATTAGATGGAAGTCTAGTGCTTTAGTCAGGAAGCCATCCAACCAAATAAAGAAACTATGTTAGTCTGTATCCTTCTAGGCAGAAATTATATCACATGTAGACGACAGTCCAGGAATCGGATGAAGTGGTTTTGGTTTTGATAAAAGTTGTAGTCTTTCTTGAAGCCAATGAAGATTGTTTTTGACCAATGGATTACTTCCCATGTATTTGTGAATATTATTATTATTGTTTCCTTTAATTCCTAGAGGAACATAGGGCTTCAGCCGCACGTCTCTATTGCGTTGGGTTCTCTGCTAACGTTTTCATCTGGCTCCAAGTCTGGCCATATGCTTTTATCTGCTCTGTACATGACCTCCTCCATGTCACCCTCGCACTGACGACCAACTCTCTTCTTCCCATTCGGGTTCCACTCTAGGGCCTGTCTTGTGATGCCACTTGATGGTTTCCTCAGAGTATGGCCAATCCACCTCCATTTCTTCCTGCATATTCGTTCCACCATCGGTTCCTGCTGGGTTCGCTCCCAGATATCCTTGTTGTTGATCTTTTGTCGCCATCTGATCTTGAATAGTACTGAGCAGAGACAGCTGTTGATGAAGGTCTGTAGTTTGTTCAAAGTGCTCTTCATGACGTGCCAAATCTATGATGCATAAAGTAGTACTGACTTCACATTCGAGTTGAAAAATCCGGATCTTATTTTTCATGCTGGGTGTGCTGTTGATCTCCACACAGACTTGAGAGAAACGAAAGTTTGCCTTGCTTCCCCGATCCTCGCTGCTTTGATGTCTTCATCAGTTCTGTCCACCTGTCGTTGAAACGATGCTTCCCAGGTCGGTAAATGAGGTTACTTCTTTCAAATTTCTCCCATTTATGCTGATTGTCGTCTGTTGGTGGTGGTGTTGCTGTTGACCAGGAATATTCATCATCTGTGTTCTCTCTATGTTCACCTGAAGGTCTATCTTTGATGCTTCTTCTGCCAACTTGTTGCTTTTCACTTGCATATCTTCCAGTTTGTGGGAAATCAGACATATATCATCGGCGAAGTCCAGATCCTCCAAGTTTTTTGTATTTGTGAATATAATAGTACTATTTGTTTACTTTAGAAAGCAAAAAATACTGAGTGGGTCAGTGAGAGAATGAGTGATTGCTCGAGTTTGTGAGTAGAGTAAGAGAGTGAGTTACATCTTCGTGTAGTATTGTGTTCCCTGAGCTGGATGGTTTAGTTGGTAAGCTTTCCATTGCCTTAATAGGCAACATCTTCAGCGCATACTTCCAACTAAATCGAATATGACTAAAAGTTTTATGGAATAACGAAAACAACAGATATTTTTCTAAAAGATTCTTTTATAAGGAAAGTATGAAAAAAAAATACATTGTAAGATTAGCTTATCGACCCTTTTTTTCTC